GAATTTCAAAATATAATGGAAAGTTTTAACAGCACTAGACTAGGCAGAAGAAAGAATTTCAAAGCTTGAAGACAAGGCTTCCCAATTAACTCTGTCAGTCAAAAATGAAGAGAAGAGAATCAAGAAAAATGAACAGTCTGTCTGAGAAATATGAAAGTATTTAAAGCAAACAAATATAAGAATCATAGGTATTCCTGAAGGGGAAGAATAAAAAGCAAAAAGCATGGAAAACCTATTTGAAGGAATAATGGAAGAAAACTTCCCTGGTATTGTTAGAAATTTAGACATCCAGATATAAGAAGGTCAAGAAACTCCTGGAACATTTATTGCAAATATGACATCACCAAGGCAAAAAGTTATCACTCTGGCCAAACTCAAAGTGAAGGAGAAAATTCTACAAGCCAGGAGATAAAAGCATCAAGTAACTTACAAAAGAAAACCCATCAGACTAACTGCAGACTTCCCAGTAGAAACTTTACAAGCTGGAAGGGTGGGTCTTTTTAAACAGAATAACTGCGAGCCAAGGTTTGTGTCCTGCAAAACTAAGTTTAATAAATGAAGGAGAAATAAAGTCTTTCCCAGATAAGCAAACACTAAAGGAATTTGTCACCACTAGATTGGTGACAGACTTAAAATTCTAAGCCTGGCTAGTTCATACTCACCATGTGGCACTTAGGAAAACAATTGCTCAATAATTTTTTTCTTTTCCAAATGTAGACAAATGTGGGTGCAAAGATTCTGTTATTGGTATGCTATGGGAAAGGTGGTCTCTTCTAGTGATGTAATAATGGATCTCTTTTTGTATCTACTTGGAAAGAAATGTTAGTTTCATTCAGTATCAGCACTGACTCAATATTTTATTTATTCCAACCTCAAGAATTATGGAGAATGAGTCCATTTAACACAAAAATATGGTGGGAAGTTGAGATCCCTTTGAGTAGACCTAAGTTTATTTACAGATTCAGGTAATGAAAAACCTCAAGTTTCATCACCAAAGATCACTTTGGTCCTAAAGTTATTAATGACTATAACTGTACAACTATTATTTCCCCATAGCTATTTTTATCTTTATGTGAAATAACTAGCATTTTGAAAATTATATTACAATAAAGGCAAACAGAGTTAATGTTGATGATGTTATTACCAAGTGCTTACTCTGAAAGTACCTTCAAAACTTCACATGCTCCATTTCACTGTTGCCACTTTCAGTGTCAAATCAAAGGTTAAATGAGCATAGATATTTGATTCTGAAAAAGGAGTAAAATTTTGTAACAAATATTCAACTTCCCAAGAATAAATCTATTGAATGTTTCCTATGAAACTAGAAGAGTTTCTATCAACTAACTGTCCAAAGAAAATGATTTTCCTCTTTCTCTCTCCCTCTCTCACTGACATTCTTCTAACCACCTCTACCCATCTAGCCTGCAGAGCAACTTTGAATTTCTGGAATAAAGATGTGGTTCGTATATATTTGCCAATGCCATGACAAAATTGGACAGGGAGAAAGGTGCACTGACGTGCACTGCAGCTTCATTTAGTGATGAGCAAATCTCACGAATATAAATGATTAAGGAGCAAGACATTGAATGGTATGGGGAAAAAAAGTTTTTGTCTTTTCCAAGAAAAATTAGAGTTAGAATTTTCCAAGAAACCTTGGCATTAGTTATGAATGGAACTTTGAATGTTTCCAAGAAACACTGCAGGCAATTATGTTTACCAACAGAGCCGAGGCATGAATTTAGAAGATATCTTTAAATGTGGGGAGAGAATCTGGCTTCTTTTAACTTATTTGGCTCTGATTCTCTCTTTCTAAAATTAAGTCCAGTTATAATATTAGAAGGAAGTGGAGATTTATTATACCCACTGATGACTTTTAATAATGCCAGTTGGCATTGGAAAGGAATAATTTTTTAAAAAATGAATGCTCGGTTACTTTGGGTTATAGAACTGCACTTGAGGGAAACATCATGTGAAATTACAATCTTTTTCCATTAGGTTTCACTTTTAGAGAAATGTTATGGGTATAAAAATTTAAGAGAGGCTTTTGCTCCCACTGCTATTGCATGAAAGTTTAGATAAAAACTGACTCTGTCAAAGTTAGTAATAATTATATAGCTCAGATATACACACACACCATAATGTTTGCAACCTCAGAGAAATATCAGATCAAGAAAAATAATTGTAGGAACCACTACTAGACAAGGAAAAGACTTAAATGGGTAAAGCCATGGATTGGTATCAGATTGATGTTGGTTAGACTCACAGTTGTGGCATTATTTATAGACTGTGGGATCTTAAGCACTTAACTTCCAAAATTCTGTTTACCTACAAAATGGTAATAATATTATTATCTGTATTATTAAGGTTACTTTGAGGAATAAATGAGATAATAGATGTAATATGCTGAACTTCTGGTTCATAATAAATTCTCAGTTGATGTTAGTCATAATTTTTATTTACTATTATGATTATTGTTGTTGTTTACTATATAAGATCAGTTATTTTATTTAAAATTTTCATCATTTAATTATTTGAAAATGCTTCAAAGTCAGATGTGAACTACAGAGACTTTTACATTCAAGTATACCAAAATGTGACAAGTTAAACATAATTGATAAGAAGTATATTAATGAGATAAAATACTCCATTTTAATTTTTAAAAACTACTTTACCATTGGCAAAAACATGGATTAAGTTGGACATTAGGCTAGGTGAAATAAGCCAGACACAGAAAGACAAAAACTGTATGATATCATTTATATCTAGAATCTAAAAAGTTGAACTCTTAGAGAATAGAACAGTGGTTCCCAGGAGCTGGAGATGGTAAAAACAGGGAGATGTTGGTTAAAGGATACAAACTTTCATTTATAAGATGAACAAGTTTTAGGAATCTAATGCACAGCCTGGGTAGTGATGAACGTGTTAATTAATTTGATTATGATAATTATTACATACTGTATATGTATATCAAATAATCAAGTTGTACACATTGAATATATTCAATTTATTTGAATATATTTCAAATTTATATTTATTTGAGTATTAGTTTATTGACAATTAAACTATTTTTCCTAATACAATTTCTATTGATTGGGTCTTTCAAAAAGTCTTACCTTGAATCCAGATATCAATTACAGATATAATTAGTTGATGTTGCGATGTATGCCTACAGAATCAGCCCAACACAAAAGCCACCTAACTTTTGATACTCTATTTCCTCAGACCATTTGAGGATTTGGAATATGTTATCTGTTACATCCCCATACTTAGCAATGGATGAGGCTATCAGACATTCTTACTAATGTTATCTAAAAACAAAGGGCCATTCAGAAGTTCAAGTGTGTGTGATGGGAATAGTGTGGTGCAGTTAGAATATATTAATAGTTTCAGGAATCAGACAGATTTAAGGTCTGGTCTTTGGTCAACCACTTATTAGCTGTAGTCTTTGGGCAAGTTACTTATCTTCTCAACCTCAGTTTCATTATTTATAAAATGAGTCATTGATAGCATGTATTTTAGAAGATGGTTGTAAGTATTAAACCAGCTGATGCATTTATTACAAAATCTGATAACTTGTAAGTGATCAATAAGTGTTTATTATTATTTTCATAATTTTACTAATTTCCTTGATCTTTTTACTAGATAATTGCCATCATTTTTGTTATTGCTTAAAGTATAATGCTGATGGGTGATCAGTTTAAACTTCCCCCAAATGGTACAAGTTTCATTCTGTAGCATTTATAATGTATGCCACACATAGAACTGGCTGCAAGGGAAATACGTTGGGAGAATATGAATTCTTGGGATAATAAGTTGGGAGAATTCCTCTGTGCCAAAGGAATAATTGGAAAACAACTTGAGGAGCATGACTTGATATGAGGAATTAAAAACATTATTTTTATAAATGGATAAAATAATTGACTGCCTGTTAGCATTACTAGTTGAATTTTGGGGTTTCAATTTATATTCCAGGCAAATTGAAAAATAATACCCTATTTCTTTATAGATAATTAATTCTTCATTTGATTTTTTAATATTATGATATAATGTTTAGTGGCTACTAATGGACTTAATAACCTATTTTTTAAAAGGCAAGAAGTAGTCTCATGTTTTCTTTTAAGAACAAGTTATATCCCTAAGGAATTCCCCGGCACATGTACTTATTCTAATTTTGAATTGCCAGCTTTTTGAGAAATTAATGTTCAACTTTAGGAAAATTCAAACTGCCTTGTTCTTGGATGAATAAAACGTTTTCAGGAAAATTTTCCCTAAAACAATATATAGAACATTATGTTCCAATAAGGCAGAAATTGTATTGTGGTGCCGATTTTATAGCATGAATCTGCAAAAGCAAAACTGTATGGTGGATAAAGGGCCTTTAGGCTCTAAGGATTAATGAAAATAGCATTTATGAATGGAGGCACTGACTTACGTAATTTTTAGGATTTAAGTAAATGCACCACAGTTAGCCAGCATTTCCCACCACTGCAATTGCAGCCGCTAACGAGAAGCAACCATGACACATAACGTAACAAAGAAACACACCAGGATTTATCTGTTCATTGGTATTCTCTTTCCTCTTCCTCATCCACTTATCCCTCAAACATCTTGCCTATTCAACTACTTATTCTGACAGTGCATAATGGGGCAGGGTCAAGGCAAAGACTATTTTTTTCGTATGACTCCTTTTCACAATGTTACTCAGACACAGTCACTCTTCATAGAGGTTAAAATTCTAAAGATATGTTATCCTTCCAGGAAAATGTGGAAAGCAGCACTCAAATGATAGGAAAACTTTTATTTTATAAAAAGTTCTCTACCAATACTAAATTTTCAGAAGTTGGACTATCAGGTGATACTTTGCGTATCAACAAAACTAAGCCTTATTTAAAGGGAAGTTGTAAATTTATTACAAGATATGTATACTTAATTCTCAGAGAGCTTTGGCCACTCTTGTCATTTCTCATGCCTTGTGGCTACTGGAATCTTTGTCTACTTACTGGATGGAGCTTTCAATGCGGGTAATAGTGAGGAAAGCAGCAAGGTTTGCTGTGTAAGAGGAGATGACAATCAAAGCAAACAGCCACCACGCCCCCATCATCATTCGAGTAGCCAGAGTCGTGTATGGGACCTCCCCACCTGTGGAAATAAGCAGAGATTAAAAGAACATCAACAAGTATTTTTTGGGAATCTGAGGTCATACATGTTCAATACAAAATTAACTTTCAAGAAGTGAGAAATCTTTCTACTTAACATCTGCATAGATCTCTATATATTTTCATCACTTTATATTTAATTCTCTTCTATGAGACTATGTGAGACCTAGTCAGAAAGAAGCATGGCAAATATTTAGTATAACATGTTTAAATCATAGCTCTTCTCCTTTCCTGTTCAATCCTCTTATTACAACGACAGATGTGCACTTTCTTTCCAGTGGCTTCATTGCTCATTAGTTAGGTGACGTTAATACTGCTATGCTTATATTTAATGTAACTACTTTTCAAGATTTCCAGTTAAATAAATACTATTGGAAGGATTTATGTAACCAAAACATTTTTACCCCCATAATACTCTGAGACAAAAATAAAACAAAAATTTTTAAGATTTCTGTGGCTGTACTTTGTTACTTAGTTTTAAATTTGTAACATGTAAATGTCTTCTGTAGTTAAAAAGAATATTAGATTTAAAAAGCAAATTGAAAATAAAATGACAGAAATGAACCTGAGAGTATATGAAGTTAGTGACATAGTTATAGAGAGGAAACAATTGCTTCAAATGACTTTAAAATACAATGACCGCATCCCACACTGAAGGGCACAGTCATTTTGGGCAGCCCTCTCACCCAGCTGTCCTTTCAGGTTCCAGGAACCATTCTCTTCCTGTCCCCTTAGGGCTGGTAGTGATAACAGCTCTTTTCTGTAACCAATGTGTATTGCATCAGCCCTTGTTACTTTCTCAAAATTCTACTCACATCCTGTAAATAGTCCTTTCAGTAAACTTCTCTCAACTTCCAGAATCTGAAATAGAATGTAGCATCTATTTCTATATGGTAGCGCCTATGGAAAGAGAACCACGAAAGTGGGATTCTGGGATTGGATGGTTTCCATATCTGTGTGGTACATATTGATGGGAATCAGGGCAATGGAAATCCACAGCCTCTGGTTACATCATGATTGCTTAAACAACCACCAGTGTTGGCATGGGGTGAAGCGCAGGTGGAATGCAAGGCCTTGGGAGACTAACTGGCTGTAGCAGTTATAGCGATTTTGAAGATGTGCTCCACAGAGGTGCTCCGAAGCCTCTGAATGAATACAAAGCATAAAGGAAATATTGAAGGCAATGAATGCCCAGCTCAGAAATAAAGGTAAAATGTGAGTTTTGATGGCAGCTTTTAAGCAATCTCTTAATCCTGTAGTTTCAGAGTAGATAGGGCTGGGGACAAAAGTTAAGACTTGACCATAAGTGGCAAATCTGCCACATAAGGTCTCTCATGCTAAGGAAATGGCATTGATGAGAAATTTGAACTTCCGAATTTCTCTGAACCTCCTTGCTATTGGAATCAACCTCACACCCCTCTGTAGGAATCAGCTTTTCTCTACACGAACACTTTTCAATAACTGGACCTAGGAAATTTCACAGTTCTCCTCTGGACTCACCACAGTACTCTTCATTGCTTCCAGGCTACAGGTTAGGGCCAATATCATTGAGTCAGAGAAGTATACAGCCCACTTATAGAAGTTTTATACCAAAAAGAATGAAAGGTAAGTATAGATAAGAGCAAATGTAGTAATGATCTAAGATTTGGGATTTAATGTGTTGATTTGATATGTGGGAGTGGTGGTAGTAGTTTGTTACAGTGGCTAGTTGAAAAGTGGATCAAAAATGAATAGGTTTTGAAGGTAACGTGTACACAACTTCTCTGGCATACCATAGAGACTCAGGGAGGTGGGAATGTTGGAATGGATCTGTTCTGACCCACCTGCTCATTTCCCTTCCCTTCAATGTCTGATGATGGACACACCCTCCACAAAGACATTAAGAAATGCATGGGAGAGGATAGAACACAAACATCTCGGAAGAGCTCTGGGTGCTTGTCCTCTGATTTCTGAGATGACAGTGGGGAATTCGGCAATAAATTATATTTCTTGATAGCAAAGTGAATGTAGCATCCCTAGTTGGTAGAGGCTAATTGTAGATGTTTATCGGAGATAAGGTAAAATTGCCATAACGAGCCATGGCTACTTATGAGTGATAATTAGATAATGAGAGTGGTAAAATTGACCTTCCTAGATCTACAACAATAGCTTATTGATCACAGGGTCCCTAAAAGTAAAATAGGTGCTTCTATTTACATAACTTATATAATTTATAACCTATTAACTATAGGTTATAATTTACAAACTGTTAAGGTGCTTCTTGATAGGTATGGGCGAGACCATTCTAGATCTGAGAGCAGAAACTTAGCCTCAATTGCTGAGTGGGAATTTTGAACCTCTTATTTAGTTCCCAGCATTCATTCAGTTTATGGATCCAAAACCTCCATATTGAAGAAGTAGTCAAGTTAGCATTTTTTGGTATGTTCTTTTTGACACTTTTAAAAATGATTTTTAGTAGTAGTAGGATGGCACACTCAATGGCTAAATAATATTTCTCAGCAAGATGTACTATAACTTAAGTAATCTATTTTTTTAAATTTGGAAATTTATGCTATCATATATTACATTGCTATAAACATCTTTGAACATATAACCTTTTAAATATTTTTAAGTATTTTCTTTTGATAGAATCAATGAAGAGAAGTTATTTGGTGAAAGAAATTAGTTGTTTTATATCTTGTACAGGTGATAAAAATTTTCAAACATGTTTTATAACATTATTTATTGAAAAATAGTCATAGGTAATGTTTCTTCTCTACTAGTATGATGGTTAATTTTAGGTGCCAGCTTAACTGGACTAATGAATACCTAGAGAACTGGTAAAGCACTACTTATGGCAGTGTGTGATGGTGTTTTCAGAGGAGACTGGTTGTGAGTCACTGGACTGAGTGGGGAAGATCTGCCCTCAATGGGAGTGGGCACCATTCAATTGGCTAGGGGCCCAGATAAAATAAAAAAGGGAGAGAAAATGATTTCTTCTCTCTCTTTCCTGGAGCTAGGACATATTCTTCTCATCCTGCCCTTGGACATCAAGATCCCAGGCTCTCTGGCCTTGGGACTCCTAGACTTATACCAGTGCCTTGTCTACTCAACTTGCAGATGGCCTGTCTAGGAACTTCTCAGCCTCCATAATCACATCATCCAATTCCCCTAATAAGTCTCTTCTCAGATATCTATCTATATTGATATCATCTCTATGTAAATCTATATATACAGGCACACCTCATTATATTCCACTTTGTTGTATTGCACTTTGCAGAGACTGCACTTTTTACAAATTGAAGGTTGTGGCAACCCTGCATTGAGCAAGTCTATCAGTACCATTTTTCCAGTAGCGTGTGCTCACTTATTCCTCAGAGTCAGCATTTTTTAAGCAATAAATTAATTATGTACATTGTTTTTTAAGACATAATAATATTTCACACTTAAGAGACTACAGTACAGTGTAAATATCTTTTATACTTGCTGGGAAATCAAGAAATTTGTGTGACTCACTTTATTGGGGTATTTGCTTCATTTTAGTAGTCTGGAACTAAATCTGCATTATCTTCAAAGTCTGCCTGTGATTATCCTATTGGTTCTGACCCTCGGGAGAACCCTGATTAATACAGTTGTTATTTCAGTTGATTTTGAATGACAAAATATTGCTCTGGACTGACTGATAGATCTATTTGCAGATAAGCAAAAGTAGGCTAGAAAGCATTACAACATGTAATTGAAATGATAATTTCTTATATATAAAAGACTTCTCTAACTTAATAATCACATTTTCAAAGTACTTATAATACATGCAAAGCTTCTGATAAATTGCAGTTCCTTCTTTCCAACACTTTAGTATTATTTATACTTTTCTGTTTGGAAGAGTTCCACATTGGTTGTATAATAAAATACTTCACTTTTTAACATATTTTAACAATTAAAATATTGAATGTTTATATTGAACATAAACATAAGTAATGTTAAACTACATAATTTAGTATTATATAGTTAATTAAATTACATAATTTAATATTTTTTTCTTAATAATGATAAAAGTTTTTTTTATACATACAAATGTCATCTATGCATAATTACCTGAAATAAGAATGTTCTTCTGAGCAAATTAAAAAAGAATATTATTTCAACATCAAGACTTCCTACCGGAGATAATCTTTATAATTCTTGAGACTTCAAGTTTAATACAAATAGTTAAGATTATTTTACTGAACCTAATACCATGGAATATTTCTGGTAACAGATTTGAAAGCTGCTAAATTAAAAATTAATTATAATCAAATTAAATGGCTACTGGTTACACCACGTAAACCTTATTTGCTGATTTTAGTTTAACTTTTAAGTGCCAATTACTGTAACTCATATTAGAACTAAATTGAATTTAACTACACACAAAAAACTAACACCTGGCAGCTTCTTACTTTCACAATGTTTTCATTACTCCAGCCCATATAAAATTCCCACTGTTTGTAATGAGTTAGGCAGTACAAAATAGCCCATTGGATGTCAATCATAGGTTTCAGGCTTCCAGGTTTCCAGTTTATACAGTGGGCTCCATTATAGCTTCACACAGTTGTACCTCAAATAATAGTGAGAAATCTTGAGGTAAGTGCCACATTGAAATATAAACTCCCTTAAGTGCAACATTAAAAACATATAGATGAACAATACATTTCCCACCATGAACTGATTAACTTTTCTGTCTCCAAGGATAGTAACAGTGATGATATTTAGAAACTCTTGCTGTAAATTTCTTTCTCTAAGTCTCATTTAATAAAGGTTTTTTTTCCCCCTCCTGCACTAATTGCGTTGTATTTAGTTCTACTGGACAAACTGATTATATTAATAGAATTCATGAATTGCACTAAATCTATTGAATTGTAGCTTGTTATACATGAACTTTATTGGATCAGACAAATACATCTTCCAGATCATTAATTAGCAAAGTCCTTTTCTATGGGACTAGTTGATGCATCTTGAATTGGCAAG